TTTAATTTGACAGCTGCGTGCATCGGAATTTGCCAGTAACCTGATCTCAGGTCGACAGATGAAAAGTAGGCCGCGGAATGCAGGCAGTATAGAGCGTCATCAATGCGCGGCAGTGGATAGACGTCTTTTTTGGTAACAGAATTCAGTCGGCGGTAGTCAACGCTAAATCTCCACGTACCATCCTTCTTCCTCACTAGAATGACGGGAGCAGCCCACGGACGTGTCGATTCCTGTATTATTCCCTTTTCCAGCATCTCTTGGACTTGCTCGTTGATGATCTTCCGCTCCGATGGTGCCACTCGGTAAGGTTTCTGCCTAATGGGGTGCGCCGACTCAGTGTGGATCTGATGACGTATCCGGGACGCTGGGATTAAGGGCCTTTGGCTGTATTTAGAAAAATCGAACACTTTAGAGTGCTTAGATAGAACGTCGAGCAGTGTATAACGTTCGCTTTGGTCAAGTGACTTGCTGACCATTTGTAGCAATTGGGCATCTTCTGAACCTTCTAAGCCTAGATGTTCATTTTGGTTGGTAGCGTCAGCAAGCGCAACCAGCGTCGTACATGACTCGGGTCTAAATACTGCAAGTTTCATGCCGCCTGGTAGAATTGCACGCTCTATGGAACTGTTCATTGTCCACACACCTGGCCGTCCATCAACGAATGACACTATACAATGGGGAATGAGAATGTTTTTTTTTTCAGGCATGCCAAGGAAATCGGTTCGAGCGTGGCGTCAAACGTGCCACGGTTGTTACTGGAACATGTCACGGGAACACACACAGCAGAAAATTCAGCAGAAAATTCAGGAACGACTGTATCCACGGAGACGAAAAATATGCGTTCCTCCGGACAGGAATTTTCCAAGAGCGCTGTTGGAAAAGTACCGTGTATAGAAAGATGCCCACTTCTGCAGTCTACAGTTGCCCCACACTCACACAAGAAGTCAATACCCAAGATAACGTCATGTGTAGACCGTGGAATAACCGCAAACTCTGTGCAAAACACCTTGCCACACAGCGAGACGTCCACAGTACAATATCCCACCGGACACAACACGTCACCACTTACACCACGAAATGTCACCCCACGGTTCAGGCAAAACATCACTTTTGGTCCAAGAAGGTTCTTAAAATTTACACTCATGACCGAGACTGTCGTGCCAGTATCCACAAGTGCCATAGTAGCCATTCCATCGGCAACTACATGAACATTGTTCTTCAACATAAACGCTGACGGGGGTATATCTGTAGGTAGCACCTGTGATCTGGCGGCCTCACCCCCACTGGCCGCACCGACTAGTTTTCCGGCGGTGGTGTACGTGCGCGTCGCCGTGGTGACGGCGATCGTGGAGCACGGGGAGCTGGTGGTGGCGTCAAACTTCGATACGAGGCCGGCGAGGGGTAGCGTTACCTGGTAGGTGCGCGGGGTTTCCGTGACGTGGAGAACGGATGGTCGAAAGGTGGGTGAGACATGTGTCAAGACTGTCGCTGATATGGGCGGTGGTCACAAAAACGTGCAATATGACCCGGGACGCCACAGTTGTAGCATACGGGAATTGGTCGAGGGGCACGTGGCTGCTCAGAGTAACGACTCCTCTCGGAAGGCATGGGATAGTGGTGCCGCCCCTCAGGGGCACTGTAGGCAGGCGATATGGGGTAAAAAGGTGGGCGGAAACTTCGTTCGTAGTCGGGAGTTGGTTGACGGGGGAATCCAGTCTGCCGTGTGCCTTGATATTCATAAGCGTCTGCTGCGTTGATTGATGGTTGCCATGGTGGAATAGAAACAGGAGTCCGCACACGTTCTGGTTCGTTTACGTACACATCCTGAAAATTGCTGGGTCTGCTGACATCGAAGCAGCTCTTTTCTGACAATCTGCCGTATGGTCAAAGCAAGGTCGTTAGGCGGCACTGTTTCAACACTAGCCACGGTGGGGACGTTGGACAGGGGGCCAAATTTTGGAGAAATTCGTCGCATCTTCAGGGATTCAAAGGTACGACAGCGCTTCATCACGTCGGACACGGAGTTCAAGCAGTCTTTCCCAATTAAGAAATTGTACACGTCTTCAGCTATACCCTTGAGAACGTGTCCAACCTTGTCTTCTTCAGACATCCTCCAATTCACGATCTTGCACAGCTTCCATATTTCTTAAATGTATGTCGTGCATCTTTCTCCCGGAAGCTGTGCCCTCTGAGACAATGTCTGCTCCGCGCGTTTCTTATTTGCGTCCGAATCACCGAAGCACTTCTGCACTTCTTCAACAAAACGTTCCCAAGTCATGAACATGTCCTCGTGGTTCTCGTACCACATGAGGTCGGTGTCAGTTAACGAGAATACAACAGGATTGAGTTGTTCGTTTGAGTCCCAGCCATTGCTCCTGCTCACCCTCTTGTAGTTCTTGAGCCACACGTCGACGTCTTCTCCTGATGTCACGCCGAAGTTTAGTGGCACTCTGTAGTATGGCATGGAACCCATCGGAGTTGGCCTCGAAGCGTTGTATGGCTGCTCTTGGGCCATTACGATCGGCGAAGGTGAAAGTCCGGTGAGGCGGCGGCTGCGGCGAAATCCTGGTAGTGAAGCTCCCGTCTTTGGGTTCGTCCTACCCAGCACCTTCCACCAAATTGTTACACAAGGCAAGGCAACTTAAAGGGGGTTTTTAATGGGCCCTGAGTCCGCGATCACAGTATAATGATGATGATCTCCACCGCCATGGCCTGCACCCACTCAGAGGGATTGCAGTAAAGGCAACGTCGCCTTCATTCTCTACCTGCGCTTCCCTTGTTTTCCCTGTTAGTGATACTTCTTATCAATATTATACGATACGGTGCGAGAAAAAAAAACGGAGAATGGATTCAGAAATGTATACATTCTTTCGTGGCCCATTTCAATCGTTGGCTTTGTCTTTTTTCACCTCTTTGTAATAATGCCGCGCCGTACGTACTATGACCTAGTAGGCCGAATCAAAGCTAATATCCATGACATTCGTTAAGTGCCACTTAGGACTGAAAAACAGGTCACGGCAAGTTCTAAAAATGGATCGAGAGCATGTCATGCAAATGTTTTTTTTTTATATATACGACGCGCACTCGTAGTACCGATGCCTGCGCATATCATAAACTTTAGACAAAAACGTAAGTTGGTCAACGTGTGTTTGCGACGTATGATACGCGATAGCTGAGCAGGTATATATATATCTTCAAGCTCTTTTGGGGATACGATCACTGTCGTGTGACTTCGCGTCGTGTTGTGCAGTGACTGATACATGTACTAAAGAGACGAGCTTGTTAAGCCGTCACCGTCGCGGCAGCTCACCTTGCATCGATCTCAAGGTAGCGTGCGCCAGCTGGCTGTTTCGTTCGCGGACGCGGCAAGTGATCGTGCGAGCGTACGAAGTCATACCCCAAATGCGTACGCTCGACGATATTATTTCAGCTCTTTGGCGCGATTAGCTACGTATTTCCGAAAGGAAAATGTAGAAAAAAAAACCAACATACACGCGGCGCATTGTTTTGTTTGCTGCCAAGACGGTAGAGTTTGTTTATGTTCACGCTGGCTGTCCTGCGTTTGATTTTGCGACCTTCGGGCTGTCGCCGGGCGTGCGCGTAACCAGCCTACGTCATTTCCTATCAGAACCGGATGCAGCCGTAGCTTTCGGGGAACCCGCGGGTCTCCTGAACCAATCCAGGAATCAGAAAATCGAAGAAGCCCAGTAGTTAAAGAGATCACGAACGTCATTTCGCTCACTGCCGCGTTTGCGAAAGGAGTGCGCTGCTCCCACACGAAGAAGCGAGAACTGTGACCTTAGTTCGAGCTTGTCTTGTGTATATCTGCGCGTTCATTTCGTGCGTTTTTCTTTCTCTCTAAACAGTTTGCTTTAAGTGTCGAGCTGTGACAGTTGTTTGTCCACGCTCAGTCGTGTGTATGCTCATTTCGTGTGCGCTTTCTACCAGGTATGCGCTCAAGTTTCGAAACTGCTTGCCGTTCTTCGAGTGACATTCAATGTCTTACTGCACCAGCTCCTTGCTTCGCCCTCGTGGAACGAACAATGCTCAAATAATGCTCAACTACCTCTGCAAGGACACCTTTCACAATTATGTAATAGTGACCCCCCCCCCCCAAATAAAGAAAGAAGCAATCAGCCATGCTTTTTTTTTCTTCACTGCGTCAGCTCCCTTTCGGTGTGATTGCGAGAGCACTCTTGTAGCTACTGGATTGTTCTTGCGAACTACGAAAGTACTGCAGCTGGCACCACTGTGGCACACCAGGGCAGGGACGGGAAATATGCAGCAGAATATTTCTCAAATCGAATTTGTCAATCCCTGCCATCCGCTGACTGATGTCAGGCTCGTCGACGTTGTTATACGCAAGAGAAGAGCGATAGACTTCAAGCTGGCTGTGATACGTTAAAACCGTTTTTCTGCCACGTCCTCTGCTAAAGTGTTTCGCTCACATGTTGATTGGACTCTCGACTACTGAGCGGCAGTGTTTTCCCACCATGTTCAAGAAGTTCCGAATATACCTTTTAAGGTTATGGGCCTATGCTCCTCAGGAAATGTAGGATTAGGACAGCTTTCTTGCGACCTTGACTATTTCGGGTACTAATATATCAAGTACTTTTTCCTCGGTTAGCGGGAAAGACAGATAATAAGGTCTGCGACATGCTAAGTGAAAGCACTGAATCAGGCTAATTTGTATTTGTGCTGTATAAGCTTACGATGCTTGAAAGCTTGAACGAGGTAAACACTATGCATGTAATTCTGGATAATAAGTTCCTACTCTAAGCTTTACATGATGTAGCGCACAATAGAAAAGACATGTCATGGCGACGTGCAATGCCTAAATCACTGTACTCAACGATGTTGCTGGTTAAGTCGAGTTCTCGGAGATGCTGCCTGGAAACAGAGCTGTGGCGCACAGAAAAGTTCAACTGAGGCTGCAGCCAGCGTTTCCCAACTGTAGAAATTAAGCTTCCTAAAAGTGAATGACAGAGAAAACATTTTACCCTCTTCAGTAGCTTATGCTTCAGAAAAGGTTTGACGACTTCAAACAGCGTCTTGAAAGCAGAAGGGTAGTTGATTACGTACACAGCCTTCATTCGTACTGGCGAACAGTCCTGAAAATGGAGAGTATAGGAAAATTATGGCAAACGCATTCGACGGGCTGTCTAATTTTTACGGCAAGATTGTTAATTATAACTATCGCTTTCATGACAGCTGTGGTACGTTATAGGCGAAGAGTAGTGATAGACATCTCGGCTAAGTGGTTGACAAACGCATTGATATGCCACTTCCAGCGCACAAGTGCACGCCGTCGTATAGCTGAGAAGGGCACGAAGAACGCCAGATTTAAGCTTAATCCTTATTTCACCACAAAAGAGCTTTTATAAATACAATAAACAGCCACTGGTTGCATTAAATTTTGAAACTACCTAAACCGGGCCATAACTATCGGGGGGAACGAAAATATCAAGCCCGCGGGCTTTTTTGGTGTCATCTACAACACCCGTGAGTACTTGTACGCAGGAGCATCTACCATGGCGCGCTGGATATGTTTTTACGAACAAAGGTAGAAGGTGCTTTTCCACACCTGATAAATTCGAACGGGACAGAGATAAGCTGTAGCTCCGAGAAACAATAAGACCTTTACGAGAGTGTTGATGATATACACGGGTTAAATCTACAAAATGAAGTATAGATGCATGCATGTTCCGAATAAACATGCTAATTTTGTTCTGATTTCAGAATTACACGATTATGATTGTTTTTTTTTGTATTTGTTTCCCTCTCCGGTCATAGCCTTGCGTTAACCCCAAAAGGCTGACACTATCTGTAAATAAATGAATCAATAAATAAATGTTAACTTACTAGTAAGTAGCGCCTGGACGTACGTTCATAGAAAGTGAAAGCAGTTATTTCACAAGCACATGAATACAACAGGTAATCAAAGCATATGAGACGTGATTTATTCGGTTTAGCTGTACCTTAGTAATTATGCGGCATGAATCTAAACCAGTTAAGTGGATAACTCTTTCCATTGGTGGTGCCCGCACTGCCTGTGCCGGCAACTTTGGAATTAAGCGTTGGATGATCGACCGGTTCAGCTACGCATGGAGGAATTTCCTCCCCCTAAAGTTTCGAGTTTTATCTTTGTGTGCAACCCCGAGTGTTAGCCAAAGCGCTAGTGTAAAATTCTTCTTTTGCCGGAAACGCAACAAGGAAATTTTCCCACGAAGGGGTGTCCTGACAGACGAGCTCTGACATGCAACCTCAGTGCATCAGGCCTGCCAGGAAAAAAGGACCACGATATGAAAAAGAAGTAAAGGGGCACAGTGATACGCTATGTCATGAAACATCGTTGTGATTTTCGTCGTAAGACTACAGCCTCGTTTTCTCACCTGTGTGATGTGAGTCATCTTAATTAGTAGCCCTGGAGTTAGCTGACGAAAATGGTGGAAACCAAGTCCTTCCAAGTCCACGATGCCCGCCACTCCACCAATTTGTGCCAAGTCTTCATAAAAATTGCAGCTCGCCAAAGTTAGTACGCCTCTAACTGAAATCGTTGAACGAGCACATTGTAGGGTTCCAGGCACCTAGAAAGGCATGGCAGTGAAAGGGCACATATATTATTCGTGAGACCAGTAATTGTACACATTACTAAAATTAAAAACAAGAGGCCGACTGAAAGAACATCATACTAAAACAAACACTACTGCTCCCTACGGGAGCCGGCGTGTCTATTCTTCTTGAACGGGCCCTGCAACACTTTCCAAAGTAGCCATGGAATGAAGTAAGTGAAGGGGCTCATCGCCTCCACAATCCACACAGCACGAGTGCAGTGAGAAAGGCTTGTCACACGCTGCGAGTGTTTTCTTTCTTCACTTGTCCGGACGAAAATACTAAAAATTAAGCAGGGAATAATGGTACGAGGGAGATAGGTACGTCGCACCCACCTCGTAACCTTGACAACCTTCTCTCTCTCTCTCTCTTTTTTTTTTTTGACGCACACGCTGACACACCACGGCCTTCCGCGGAGGCCTCATTAACTCCCAAGCGCGTCATGCTCAAGTCAGGCAATGACTTGATATTCGGTCCAGTGACGCACTGATTTGTGAGTACATAGCATCATTTACCGATAGCAGATAAAGCGATTTTAGGTGACTTTGCGAATTTATTGGCTCACGTGTATGGTTTCGTATTTGGCTCACGTGTTTTCGAGAGCCTGGACTACCAATCGGCAGCGTTTTCTGACCGTGCTCAAAAGTGTTTCAGGGCCCCTTGAACGAGTTTAAGAGGTGAAGCTTCTTGTAGTCTAATGCAGTCTATCCCTCAAGCATAGCCAGCGCAGCATATTCACAGAGAGGAAGACGTAGAGACAGACGCTTCGCCCCACACATGATTCACTCCATGTATATGCTGTGATCTTTTTGGTCGGCCTCTTTCTTTTATCTGTTTACGTCTAACTCCTAATATAAAGTATAACATTTCAACAGCCTCAGTAAAAACAAAGTATTAAACAGTAATAAACGAGTCAGTTACTCTTCAAAACACGTGTTTGTTTTCGTGGAAGTCACTTTTACAAACTGGAGTGACGAACAGCTTGTTTGCCCAATTCTCTTAGACCTAAGGTATTCATGGCGTTAAAATTTAGGCGACGTGTTCTTGTATTCTGTTCATTTAGAAGTAAAAGAAAATCATCATGATTGCTTACGGGAGAGCACACCTTATTAAACACTGGGCTCGTTTTTTTTCACATTTGAGTAAGCTGTAAGAGCAGCGTAGTCCTATCTCACTCATAAGTATACCCTCTTCTTCCGAAACGGCTAGGACTCACACGATATCTCAATTCGCCCTAGGAAAATTCTTCTTCTATGCACAATGAGACCACGCCGCTTAACATCGTCTCATGTTCACGTGCGTTACATCAGCTGAACTCTTTTTCCTAGAGGGATACTGACATGAACTCGATATATCGTAAATTAACATTTTTTTTTTTGTTTCGATGATGTGGAGCATCAGTGCTCCCACGTACTGGGGTCAGACAACTCATTTGAAAACATTTTACTCAGATTCTAATTTTTTAGTCACTGGAAATTAACAAGCCAGCCCCAACCCCGTGTGACCACTTAAAAGCTGATCTTCAGGACCTGAATAAATTTCAACATGTCATGCTGAAATGGACATTATCCCGACGAGTCAACACGGTTGCAGTCAATTCGCGATCTCTGCGCCCTGCACGCAGCCTAAATTTTACAAATCACAGTCAAGGCTCTCTGCATGATCAACAATTCACTCCCCTTTGTTTACGTGCTCCACAAGCAAATGACGGATCTTTCGCTCTGGTACATCGCCTTTTGCTGTCTCCCCGTGACTACCCAAGGCGACGGCTCGCCACTGAGAGGCCGCCCTCTCAATATCAAAACGGAATGGTTGTGCATGGGCCCCGCCGCGGTGGTCTAGTGACTAAGGTACTCGGCTGCTGACCCGCAGGTCGCGGGTTCAAATCCCGGCTGCGGCGGCTGCATTTCCGATGGAGGCGGAAATGTTGTAGGCCCGTGTGCTCAGATTTGGGTGCACGTTAAAGAAGCCCAGGTGGTCGAAATTTCCGGAGCCCTCTACTACGGTGTCTCTCATAATCATATGGTGGTTTTGGGACGTTAAACCCCACAAATCAATCAATCAATCAAATCAATCAAAGTGGCTGCATGGAAAATAGAAATGATTGGAACGAGGGGCGTTTATGATGAAATTACATTGAGGTTATGCAAGAACTCACCCAATCTCATCAGTGCCATACTTCGCCCAAGGGAGTCGGGCTCTGTTGAAGTCATTACCAGATGGTTTTCGTGGCAAATTTCTCTAAGCCGACTGTTTTCTGGCCTTAGATCTCTGAAAAATTCTGGTACGTCACGACGAGCGTTAACGTAGTTCTGGAACACTCTGAAAGCCGCTTCAACATTGTACTTTTTGCTTCGAAGAAACATCAACAGGAACTTTTCGTCACTGGGAACGTGCAACGACGCCTCTGGAACATACAAGAAATGTCCGTAAAAACGAGAATATTCATCTTTCAGTGCTGCTACGCAATGATGCAGGCATTTCTCTTCTGTATTTTTCTCTTTTTCATCTAAAGTAACAACTACAAGAGTAAGATTTGTGCAACGTAAAGTGCTTTCTATAACATCAATTTTGTTTTAGAATTACTTTCCCATTTGTTGTAGCCACCCTATAGGTGTTTGTCCTTACTATCGGCCATAATAATATGACTAAATACACTGGGCCAGTTCCCACAAACATCAAACTAGTGCACTTTGAGTTAAATGTCATCAATTGCAGTATAAATAGTCGCCTTATCCGCCAAAAAGCACGGTTATACAAGAACACACACATAGAACGTGCGTAGTCGTGTTTTAGCGCCTATGTCTAGTAATGATACTAATGGTGCATTAAACAGTTCATAAGCAAGGACTACTAGAGTTATCGAGACTCGAAAAATTGGCTCATAGGTGGATCGTTCGATATGAGCAATGCATATGTGCGTTCATCGTGCCTGCTACTTGTAGATGTGCCGAGCTCGAGCCGTACCTGTTGCTTCTAAAAGAGTCACGGACTGTACCACTGAGTCATGATTGTGCCAGCAAACTATTAGGAAAAGACGATGTCCTTAGAGTGAACAGATAAGTGTTTAGCCGCACAGTTGCACAACGTGTAGTGCCTAGGTGCAACGTATTGAAATATGGTGACGAAGGGAAGGAAGCGCATTAAGTTTCACGTTCTCAGGGGCTCTCTCGGCTAAGCCTCATTTGGAAGCCCTTCCCATACCAGAAAAATGACAAGCGAAGATGGCGTGTGTGTACATCACCTACCAAATTTTCTTTCTTTCCTTCCTTCTTTCCTTCTTTCTTCCTTGCTTTCTCTTTCCCTCTTATTCCTTTCTTTCTTTTTCTCTTTCTCTCTTTTTTCTTTCTTTCCTTCTTTTTCATTCTCTTTTTCTCTTATTCCTTTCTTTCTTTTCTCTTTCTCTCCTTTTTCTTTCTTTCCTTCTTTTTTCATTCGCTTTCTCTCTCTCCTTTTCTTCTTTCTTTTTTTTCTTTCTCTTTTTGTTTCTTCCTTCTATTCTTTTTTTCTTTCTGGTATGTGTGATATGAACAGTTGTAGTGAGTCCTACAAATTTTTTTTTGTGTCTCGAGCATAAGTTGACAGCTCGTAGGAGCCAGTCAGACGAATTTCGCTCACTATTACATTCACCATGAAACTTTATTACCTCACCACATGAAGGCAACGTCGCATTTATCCTGGAAAGAAAATGAATATCTAGCTCTAAATGCCAAGTTAAAGGAAAACATTTAATATAACAAAAGACTCGCATTCTATATTAAATAGTGGTCCAGTAGCCGTGTACAATATTGAAACCGAACGTTGGTATGCCTGCGAGTCCACAGCGAACGTCCGTGCCTCTGAAAAAGGCAATCTGTGTCAAGGCCAGCCCGCCTGACGCGAACAACTCAACGGCGTAAACACGCAGGGCGCCTTTCTGGCGCGCACGTGCAGTGAGTCAGTGCAGCCGCGAGCCCATCGAGTAAACAACCGGCGTCTTCCTGTCTGGGGGTCTGACGCACTGCGCGGCGACGTCACTCGTCCTTGGGTGCAGCCACCTGCAGCACAGCCTCTCCAGATTCGATGAGAAAGAACCCGTCTCTTACGAATGACACTGTAGGGGAAGGGCAAACGGAAGCGGAGAAATTGAGTGAGGTTTCTACCACACGGGCGTTTGAATCACGGAAGCCGCTAATCCGCTACAACTGCAAAAAGGAAGGGCACATCACGATAAACTGTCAGCAAAAGCTTGCAACTATCCTAGAATCGGAAAACAAACGGTAGCCGCTAATCTGCTACAACTGCAAAAAGGAAGGACACATCGCGATAAACTGTCAGGAAAAGTTTGTTTTCGCAACAATCCGAGAATCAGAAAAAAACATGCGGTTGTTGGAGCCGTATCTCCAAGAAATTAGGGTGAATGGGAAAACGTGCCGAGCACTTAGAGACTCAGCGACAAACATGGATGTTGTCCATGCTTCATTGGTGTCTCCGGATGACTTTACAGGAGAATGTGCGTGGATCAGGCAAGTCGCCGAGGAGCAGAGTGTTCGCTTACCAATCGCCACGGTTGTCATTGAAGGCCCGTTCGGTAAGCTTCGCACCGAAGCAGCTGTGTCTGCCGCGCTAAACGATCGTTTTCCTTATCTTTTCTCCAACAACTCAGAGCAGCTTCTCAAAGAGCAGGGTAAATCGTTCTTCCCCAACTTAGCGTACATGGCCCTCACGCGATCGCAAGCGCGGAAGCTTTCGCGGAAGCTTGATCTTGTTCAATGCGGTGAACTCTCAAGTGACCTTGTCGGCGGGTCGACGGAACCCCAGAAAGGAAATTTTCCGCGTGAGTCATGTGAGCAGCCACGCGAGCGGCCCGTCACCCAAGCGACCAGCGCGGTATGCGTAGGGGGAGACAACATGGCGCCATTGAGTCAGAGCGAGAGGGTTGCAACGCTCTCGCCTGTAGCGGAAAGTTGGAGCGAGCTGTCAAGGGATGATCGAGAGACGCCCATTCAAGAGCAGCGCGAGGACCTCTCGGTCAAAGCGCCAGTGGAAAGCCACATGAAAGCTTCACAAATGTTGTCGAAGGAGTACAACGACAAATCGGCGAATAAGCGTGCTTTTGAAGTTGATGATCAGGTAATGCTCCTGCGGCCGTCCAAAAAGAACAAGCTTGAGGTTCATTGGGAAGGGCCCGCCAAAGTAATATCGAAGCTTCCTGATACCAATTATGAAGTGAAATTAGGAAGGCGGCCGAACAAAATTTACCACAGTAACTTAATGAAACCATACGTTCAACGTCAAGCGGTCGTAAATCTGCTGTTGAATGCTTCAGAGGAAGAGGGAGACGAAATTTTTAGTTCTTGTGAGGTAATCGAAGGGGGATCAAAAGTAATCTGGGAACAGTTGAACCTAGAGGCTAGCTTAAGTAAAGTCCAGAAGGAGGACCTGAGAAAGATTGTTTCCGAGTTTGGAGACCTGTTTTCGGACCGCCCTGGAAACACGAGGGTGATCGAACACGATATCGAGCTAAGCGGTGAGGAGTCAATCCGTAGCAAGCCGTATCGTTGTTCCCCTGTGCAACGTCGCAAGTGTGAGCCGCTCTTGGTACCGCATAGGTATCGTCGCCTAAAAGTGGTCGGTTACTGAGATGGAGCGTGATACTCCGACAGCGCAACTTTGACGTTCACTTAAAAAAAAGGGGGGGGGGGAGCTTAACGCTAATGCAGGTGCATTGAGCAGTGCGTTCTAGCTAGTACCCTCTCACCTTTCGGTTTCTCGCTGGCGATTCGGGGCAAAATTTTTTCCTCATCACGACCTGAGCTGAGCGCTCTCGTTCAGAGTGATCTCAAGGGGCCAACTTTATGTGGTATTCTAATTCGTTGCGTTGTTGTACGTTTGAAAATTCGAGTTCTTATTTTAAGAGTCTTTTGTCCCACATGTGCCTCTTGATGTAGAGGGAAAGAAATTCCGATGGACGCGTAGCTAGGTGTATGTTGTACTATACTTTGTCTGGTGTTCTGTCGGGTGACCGAGGGCACTTGCTTGTGTCGTGTGTTGTCTGTTGTCGAACCGTTCTTGGCAAGTTGCAGAACCATCGACAAGTGCTGAAATCAAAGATTGTCAGAAGAGACGAGCGAAGCTGGTCGACAAGTTGTGGCGACAAGCCAGTGGAGCTGGGATCCGTCCTCAAGAATGAGATGTGTTCCCGGAACGGAGTCTGGAGCTGCATTCTCCCCATGGCCCTGGAGGCGAACCTGGAGGGACCTGGCGAACGAGCGCGCCTGTCATCCGAGCCCCGTGGAAGCAGCTCGTCTTTTCGGCGCATTGTCTGGCGGCGGGGGTGCTGTTATGCCTGCGAGTCCACAGCGAACGTCCGTGCCTCTGAAAAAGGCAATCTGTGTCAAGGCCAGCCCGCCTGACGCGAACAACTCAACGGCGTAAACACGCAGGGCGCCTTTCTGGCGCGCACGTGCAGTGAGCCAGCGCAGCCGTGAGCCCGTCGAGTAAACAACCGGCGTCTTCCTGTATGGGGGTCTGACGCACTGCGCGGCGACGTCACTCGTCCTTGGGTGCAGCCACCTGCAGCACAGCCTCTCCAGATTCGATGAGAAAGAATGACGCAGCCCAGCGGCGACCCCCATTGGAGGAGTCTGACCTAACGACCAGCGGCGCTTCTGGTTGGACATTTGGGTTGGACCCGGTGCATATAAAAGAAGCCCTGCGGCGCGTCGCGAGAAGGAGACCCCTTTGACAGCAGACCTATGTGTTAGAGAGGAGAGCTCGACTCTTCGAGTCTCTGTCGGCCCCAGTGCCGAATTTGTAACGCCTCTGTAGATATGCTGTACATAAACCTTGTTTAACTCACCGTCGTCTCGTCCGCTCGTCTATCAGCTCTGCGCAGAAGCAGTCGCGAGCTGAAAAACCTACGCTACCAAACGGCTGGTGACCTTTCCGGCGGAGTTCGAAGCAGTGGCGCCTTCGGGACCGTGTTGGCGTCGCCGTCTTTCGAAACAGTGGTTGCAGCGGTGAGATTCGTAGCGCCCTTCGTAACGTCGTCGGAGGTGCGCTTCGCAACAACGTGCAGGGGGCAGGGCATTCGACTTTCCCTCACAAGTTGGCTCCTGGCACACTCGTTGACACAACATCATGTTTCCCGCTGAAAACATAAGCTCGAACATGTTACACTCTTTGTAGCTCCTGAAAGGACCAACACTACATCACACTCGGTAACGCATTAAGTTATACAATCGGAGGCTATAGTTTTATACATACGTAACGATTGATTTGATTGATTTGTGGGGTTTAACGTCCCAAAACCACCATTTGATTACGAGAGACGCCGTAGTGGAGGGCTCCGGAAATTTTGACCACCTGGGGTTCTTTAACGTGCACCCAAATCTGAGTACACGGGCCTACAACGTTTCCGCCTCC